ATATCCACAATCTTGCAAATCCTGTCCTCTAAAAAAGTGTTTCAAATTGTCTTTCCACCTTAAGTGCTACAATCTTGTCTCCTTGACTAAGTGGAAGACAACTGTGGTCTCCTTATGGATATAGGGATTTGTGCCAAATCTTATCATCAGTTACTACTAAATCAGATGTCCACACTCTTCCAAGAATGTAATGCCATGGTGTGCAAGTTAATAATGATGAGAGATACTGTGGGATAACTTATCCGTACCCCATGTACAAAACATTAACCCATGGTCAATTATTCAAAACTGTTTAATAATTGGTTTCCATGCACTTTTTAAGAGTAGGCACACATGGAAACTGTACTTATCATATCCTTAAGACAAATATCCCATCACACAAACAAAAGACAATTTAAATTGTGAGGAAAACTTGACAAATAACTTCAATGGAAAGCTACAGAAACTTAAGAAATTAGAATACAGGTAAGAATATGGTGTACCCTTTATTCAGCTGTGGTTTATTTATAGGATTTGCTTGTACCACATTCTTCTTCTGTTCAGCTTCCATTTTCTGAATAATCTGTCTTCTTTTCTCTTCAATGATCCGCTCTTGTTCTGTCATTTGTTTCATCTTGTCTTTGTATGATGTTCCCACATACCCGACACCTGTCACCACCTTGCTATTTTGCCCAGACATGATTATCTTCCTGTTTCATCAATTCTAAAATGTTTAAGAAGACAAAAATCTTTTAAAATGCATTAAAATTCATACTTATGTCAGATCTAACAATTTCTGAAATTTATCCAATCCTGTTAAGTGCACATTTTATGCATTTATTTATTTCAGGGTTTCTCTAATTTCATTTATCCAATAGTAAAAGTTTCCTTTGCCAAAACAATTTTGTTCCAAGCTATTCTGAGATAAAGTTTTATTTTAGTAGCTGTAGCCATATTTGGCTGTAGATTAACATCATTTAAAATATATAACAATCTGAAAAGCAAGAAAATTTTCTGTCAAATTTGGTCTAATTCAGTGATGTGGTTATTTAAATGTATTGGATTTTATCTCTACATTTCATAGTAGCAGCAAGTTCTAACTAAAAAGACCTTTGAGCCTGAATACCATCCATCAAATCTGATTGAACGTTTTTTTTTTTATGTATTTAAAAGAATTTCCATTTTTAGCAACGGCAGCTGCATTTCATGTTGTATTTTGATCATTTGTACAGGTTTGAAATCCCTTAGTACTTTTTATAAAATTTGGTCAAATTCTGCTGAGCAGTTTCTAAGAACAAGTTTAAAGTTTAGGACATATTTATGGCATCCAAATTTGATAGTGAATGCTTTTCTGTCAAGTTTAGTCAAATTCTTTTCAGCAAATGTGACTTAGAGTTTTATAAAAGTTTTCCTATTTTTAGAAACAGTAACTAAATTTGATGTGTGTGTGTGTGTGTGTGATTAGATTTTTTACATCGCCTTCATAATTTGAGTCATATTGCTATGATGTATACAGTGCAGCAGTTTGTGATATCTAGCACTGAGATATGCTGCTCACATGTAGCATCATGTTTCAATCAGTCACATTTTCCTGACACCAGGTCAACTGCCATAAAAATGCTTTTAAATTACCTCTCCATAATGCTGTGATTGGATATAATAAGAAATTATACACTATGCTAACAAAAACTTATGCAAAGGGTAACTGTTGAAACTTGAGCAACACCATTTAAATTCAGCCATGTATGAAAGTGATTTTGCAATTGTTTATTGTTCTTTTCAATACATTGAGTTCAATATAACTTTCATATGGTTATTAAAAAAGTATATTGCATGAAATGATAGTCCGAAAATACATCCCTGTTGGTTTGTACCCCCCCCACCAATTTCAATAACGGAAACATTTAATTTGATAAAAAGTGCAAGGAACATAGTAAATTCATTCAAAGATTAATATTTTCTAAACTGAATGTGAGAAGAATTGCCATAACACCGTCATCGCCTGCGCGTTTCATGCTTAACGGAAGTTTTCAATATAATAGACTGACATGCTTGAAAACCATTTCCAGCCCATTTTCAGCAGAGGGGTTCATGTGCGACTTAATATATACATACATATGTCGTCTGCTTCCGATATATAGTGTTGAATCAAGCAAAGAAAAAGAATGACAAAAAATTTGCCTTTCACTTGGATTTAACAAGCAATTTCATTAATATGTTCATGTGTGCAAAAGAATAAAATTCCAAAGTCAACGTTATTACAATTTATGGAATTATCAGTTACCGAATAGGATCAATTACGTCATCATGTTGTCGGATGGAAATAAACTACCCCTAGTGTACGGAATATGGCGCCGTGTTAGTATGGAAAGTCCGTTAAGCATGAAAGGTGCAAGGGGATGCAAGTATTAGTGCCATTCTGGTGACAGGTTAGAAATTATAAATCAATGATTCAATTGACTTAGTTCTGTGCACATTTTAGCACATTTAACTTTTTAGTTATTGAAATCGGTTGGGGGGTACAAACCAACGGGGATGTATTTTTGGACTATAGTCCATGCATGACAGGTAAATTGTAAACGATACGAGCCCTTGTGACGATGCAGGTATGACACCATGCAACGTCATCTATTTGCTATACCAGCAAGTAAGAAGCTATTCTTTTCCGCCTCCACACGGTGGCGGCGATTTCCATCTTTTGGACAATTGCTTCCGACACCACAATCACATAAATGACAAAATATCTAAATTCTAAAAGGGGGTGGGAAGGGTCAAAACTAAGTCCGGGTATCTCATATTCTGCAATTGCTGATGAAATCAAATGAATAGCAACAACCTGAGTTAAAGCAGCATACTGTTGTTTAGAAATCATTACGACTCAGTATTAAAAATAAATAGGTCTTGATCAAAAGCAATTCTTTTAATATTTTCACTTAAAATATTTAGGTCTAGCTCAACCTCCACTTCACATGCGCTATGTACAGACTTGTTCAGACACTAATTTTTTTCAAAAACAAATTGATTCATGGAAAGTTCATTTTCAAAGCTCAGTCTATATAGACTAAAGATATTTTCATAGTAAAAGAGTTACTTCTACATGTTTGTAAGAAAGCCTTTCATTGGTTTATTGCAAATAACTTTCCAATAATATACATGATAACAAATCAACTTCATCTTTAGGACAAAATGGAAGGCGAGGGTACTGGAGAACTACTCTTCGAGCGTGGTCGAGTTAGTTTCTTTTTTTTCTTGAGTGTCAAAACGTCTAATATATTTGTTTTCTTTTCACTAAAATAAGTTTACTTTATGGTTTTGATGCATCAAACGCGTTTAACTTTAAATTGAGATGTTACGATAATGCAAAACCCAATGAATGGGAATATGTCGGAAAACGTTAAACAGTAAAGCATCATGATTACAAGATATAAAGTTACAGGAGAAAATGTTATAATTTAAATTAAAGCAGGAAAAAAAAGACACATTGAATTTTGTAATTTTGCAGGTTTTTATTTGAACGACACGAGTTGAACCCTCATCGAGATATTAACAATAAAGAAAGTATCACTCATAATTTTTTTTTTTAAAAGTCTTCAGTAGTAGTTTGTAACAAAATAAGAATATACATAGCACTACCAACTTAGATATACTCATTGTTGAAACTGTCATTGCTAATGCAGAAGTTCAGTAATAATTAGTTGAAATGGTTAATATAGTTTTAGTCTGACAATACTTGGAGCATTGCTGTTTATCTTATCAAATGTTCATAAGAGCACCGCAGAACAATTTTGGAACGCCAAACGCATTCCCTTATAGCATCCTGCAGAGAGATAACCTAGAGTTGTGTTAGCCATACCAATGCCTGTATCCCTGAGACTTGCTGACAGCACTTGGCTTGCAGATTTTATAGAGGAGATGCCTGCAATAAATTTGTTACTTTTTATTTATGTTCCTTTAATTAAGCTGATATTTGGCATAGCAGTTCTCAATTATGTAAATAAAGGTATAATTTCATGCTACATGCAGAATAAGAGTTATGCATAAAGGTAAAAATAAATGATTTACTTTTACCAATTTGTTTCTCTTGCCATGAATAATTCATAAAGTCCATTATGAATTTATACTGATTGAGAAACACTATCAACACATGAAATTAATTCAATTTTATGTATACAGAAATTTCACTTGTCATAGACTGATACTGTCACTCAGATTCGGCACCAGGGATACAAACTGAGCAATGTTATTGTGGCCTTCTGGAGATGAGGCAGGTAAAATGTGACGAGTTGTAGTGGCAGCATGGGTTAATGAGTTAATAGGCCTGTATTTGAATTTATGGAGAGTAAAGGCTTTTAGCACAAAAATGGTTTCAGTTTATTTACATACTTGTTTAAAAAGTAATTTGATATTTAAACCAAAATTTAACCTGTATATCCTTATCAAAGCTACCTTTTTCTAAGATTAAGCCTAAATTAACCTGAGTGATCTCAATGTTTTGTGTTTGTTTAACAATTTGCTCTTAAGATTTCATTTTCTAAACAATTACCCTGTTCATAAGAAGCAATCAATACAATGTGATCCTGAATAATATTTAAGAATAAAAATTGAATAAAAATAATACATTGTTTTTATTAAAAAAAAAAATTTTGGAAACTTCAATGTGACTTTTTATCCTGTGACTTTATGTCTGTTTACCAAGCCTTTAGAGGTATGAATAATTACTTTAATGCTTGTGGTCTGCTTCCTGGTACTCATATGTATTCAGTTTAGTTTACTTATATAAAATCCAGTGATAGGATTTTCATCAAAAAACACTTGTTTTCACAGACATACTTGCAGATGTTTTGGTAAATACTGTGATAGGCGATACACAATAGATTCATAACATAGAAAAACATAATCCTCTAAATATAGTGATCATTTCCACTAGGCTTACATAAGTGTTTTCATAGTCAGTTATTTGTAATGTGCAAGAGGTGTACATGAACAAATATTTACAGTTTTTGTAATGAACATTACACCACTGCTCTGGTGGCCTAGTGGTTAAAGTGTCCACCTCAGATGGGGGATGTCACAGGTTCGAACCTTGATAGAGTCATACCAAAAACTTGTAAAATTGGTTCTAACAGTTGCTTTGCTAGATACTCAGCATTAAGAAGTTAGTGTTTTGGACTGGTCAGCCTGGTGACAGGATAATGTGACTGGGTGGAAGATCATGCTACATGTCTATGGCTTGATGCCCCAGTGCTGGACATTACTATAAACTGCCACACTGCAAACATAGCAAGCAGTATGACTCAAAAATTGTTAATGCCATTTTAAAAATCTAAACCACACACACACAATAAACCTTCTACCCTTGCTGTTTGTGCTCAGATTTTCCAGAGATAGGAATTCAGTTATAGCATTTTCACACCCTCCCATTTGTTGTACCCCTCTCAGACTTTGGTACAATTTCTATGTAATTGGTGTAGTTAGGTAATTAATTATAGTTACTATATTTTTAATTGTAATTGAACATTGCCATTATGATGTAAATGTAATTATAATTGAAGTCTAGATTTGCATAATTGCTCAGTTACTAGTCAGTTACAAAAGCATTAATAAATGTGTTTTTTAATTCCAAGCAGATTATAAAAATTGAGAAAATACACATTTTAGCTGCCAAGTGTTAGACAATTAATATAGAAATTATATAGAGTGAGCAGTAAAGCTAAGTGTTAGACAAGAAAACTTTATGTAAATTGATTTTACATGGTCCTATGGGGGATTCAGACTTTCGCTCAGTTACAACATAAATGGTGTAATTGAGTAATTAATTACAATGACACTGTATTTGTACTTGTAATTGAACATCACCTGTATGGTGTAATTGTAATTGATGAAAGTCATTGAACCTAATCTGACCCATTTATAGAGTCAAACAATGAAAAGCATCAAGGATACAAAGCATGCACAAAACTGTCATTTCATTCATCAATTTATTATTTCTAACTTGTTTGTTGTCAGGTAGTCCTAGGCGCTGTCAGCTTGTTAACATTTTAATCTAAATGGAAGTTTTCAGTGTGAACAAGCAGACAGACTGTTTAATGTCTTTGCTGGTTTTAAAATAGTCCATTTAAATAAAATCTGACTGTAGCCTATATTTGTAATGTCATATTTTAATATTTCAAAAACAAATTGAAGAAACAGAAAGTAAGAACTATTGAGATTATCAAGGACAGTAAACTTCATCACATATGTTTCTTGAAAACAGGCTTGCCTATGCAACTATGTTGACTATTGGTAAAAAAAACTCCAGTTAGACCCAGTGTTCATATATAATAAGATGAAGTCGTATTTTTTTATGTAAAAGTATATATGTATTGGTACATACTGCAATCCACAACCAATGATATGATGCACATTGATTCAGAATAAAAAGCAAACAGCTGTAAATTGTTCATTGCCAATGAAGATTAAACATTTTTTTGTTTGAATTGATTTACCACCTTTTGTGTGTATGTCTGAATGACAAATTTATTGATGCAATGATATGTGTGTGAATTGTTTGCCCCGTAAACATGCCATTGTAAACTTGCATACTGACATAAATTCAGGGTTCTTAGCATGTATCCTCAGGTTTAGATTCTTGGAATTTAAATGTGATCTATTTATGACATATGGAAATTCCAACTAGTGTGTTAAGACGTATGCTGATTTGGACCTGCACATCAGTTTTAAATTCTTCTCTGCCATAATTAACTGGAATATTTGCTGCACATAACAAATTTACTGTTTGCACTGGTGATCAACATTTGCTAGATTATTGTTTAAATCTTTTATGATAAAATTGTTTTAAAATCATTATGATGGAACTCAGCTGTTGCCTTTGCTATTTTCACTGCCTATTTGCAGAGATTTAACAGTGGTTAGTCTGGGGACATTAAAATTGTGTCATTGTTACCTCAGGGCTTGCTTTATCTTGTCATTGAAGAAGATGAAGACCAAGAGTATTCATATAATGACTGTGAAGATACTTCTAATCAAATGGCCCATTCTCAGATTTGATCATGGCTAAGTATTAGGTTTTAGTTTTTAAGTACTATTGAAGATAGTTATCATATGATGCTGGCTTCGAATGCCTTTGACCCAAAACCACCATGCAAGAAGGCTAATAAGGGGAAGTGGCATGTTTTTTAGGGACCGGTTTACAATCAATACCATTGACCAATTGCTGGATTTACCAATGAAGTTTTAGGTAAGAAGACTTATGTAATTTTCTTTTTAACCCATTAACCCCTAGAGGTTTTTGTTGTTTTCGACTGAAATGTGTGTAGGAAATCAATTTTTGGAGATATTTCTGAATACATGCTAATACATCGACTTCTAAGACATATTCGGTTATCTTAATGTCTATTTGTGTTAAAAACGTCGATTTTCATTGGCTCTTTCATCTATGCATGAGCAGAATGGTAAAAAATTGTGGGTTATTTTTTTTTGTTTTTGCTAAATGGACCTATCATTTTTGTGTCGAGACCACTTTTCAATCTGAGGCCAAAAATTCTAAAATCCAAACACAAAACTGGATCACGACCTTGAAGAAATTTTGGCTGGAAAAAACTCAAGTCCAAAAAGTGACAATTTTCCCTCTCTATTTTGTAGTGCAACTAGAACATCCATCTTATTTGGTATCATCGTAAAGCTACATCTGTCTACCTTTTTATAATACCACCAACTTTATTGTGTTGCACATGGACTTAACACTACAGAGCTCAGAAGTAGGCTACCACCTCCTGCCCCGTAAATGAAGCACTAGGGGTTAATGAGTTAACCTGAAAGAATGGTCACAGATTGCTTTTAGTTGGAAAATGGGTTATCATTCACATAGGGAAATCAGTCCTTAATCCCAAGAAGGTATACCAGTATATAGCTAGGATGCTCTGCATTCCATCCACCTATTACCTATTAACCCATTAACCTATGGAAGTTTTTGTTGTTTTTACCTGAAAAGTGAGTAGGAAATCAATTTTGGGAATTATTTCTGAATACATTATAATACATTGACTTGGAGGACATTTCGGGTAACTTAATGCCTATTTGTGTTGGAAGCATCAATTTTCATTGGCTCTTTTGCCTGAGCATGAGCATAAGGGTAAAAATTGTACTTTTTTTTTTTGGCTAACGGATCCATCATTTTTGTGACGAGACCACTCTTCATTCTAAATGCCCATTTTATCCTACTGTTGTAAAGGTTCACATGTCTGTGTGCAATTCAGGCTTGTCTGTCTTAGATCTGAGGCCAAAATGTCTCAAATCCATACACAAAATCGGATCACAACTTGGGTCCAAAAATTGATGTTCTCCCTCTGTATTTTCTAGAGCAACTAGAACATCCATATTATTTGGTATCATCGTAAAGCTACATCTTTGTACCTTTCAATAATACCACCCACTTTATTGTGTAGCACATAACCGTAATGCTATACAGCTCAGAATTAGGCTACCATCTCCTGCTGCATAAAGGCGGCGCTTAGGGTTAATGAGTTAATGTGATCCAGGAAAAAGTAAATTTTATTGTAAATTATTTGTCTTCAAGAAATTTACCTGACCACATAGTTTGAAGACCCAACTACTCAGTATGCAAGCATCCTTGTTGGTAATTTACTCGGCTTAAAGCTGGCAACATGTGGTGGCAACGGAAACTGAAGGAAAATTGTTACTGCCTTTATTATGATAAAGACAGAAAAAAAGTTTCTTTATGTTCTTAGAATTTAAAGGTAGTGTACTTACATTACAAATGGTTTGTGATCAGAAGAAACATAATTTATTGCCAGATTGGCTTTTCAGTAAAGTTTGATATATTCATTAGGCTTTCATTTTAAAAAAAAATAAGGATGAAGGTTGTTTACAGTTGTTTCCTTCATTATATCATTGAAATGCTATTTTTTTGTATTTGTCTTTAACACACATACAAGATTTTTTCATTAAGATATACTATTGTTACTTAAATGCATGCTAAACTTTTTTTAAAAAATATTTAGTTTGCTCTTCGTAATTTGTAACTCTTACATGTAAAATGCTTAATTGTACATTTTAAGTTGAAAAATGTTGAGTTTCTGCTTTAGGTTTTTGATCATATCTCATTCCAAATTGGCATTGACACCCTATTACACTCTTTTTGAATAACCCATGCAAGTAAGGTGTGACCAAGATCAACTAGGAATATTAATAGGTAATTAACATTGCCACCATAACTGCTTTATCTCTTTTCACTACTGGCTTCAATTTATCTGGTGGAAATATGTTCTGCATTTAATTTTTACGAAGCACTGGGCACAGAAAAAGGAACTTGTATTGATTATGACTTTTATGTTGGTTTGTAAAATATGACCCTATTGCCCATCTGTCAAATACTTATCTTAAAGCCCAAGCTGAGACTGTTTGAATGGATGTACTAATCACTTATTTTGTGAGTGTCCTTTCTAACTGCTTGCTTAGGTCTGATTCAGATGGCACTTTTGCCAATGGTAGAGTGTATTTCAGTACAGATGTTCCAAGAAGTAGTCCCAATGTTTGTCAGCAGTTGTAGGTTTTAGACATTCCTAAATGGCTGATATTGAATTTAATTGCTCCACTTGGAGCTAGTGCCATTTTGCCTAATGGCTCTTTTTTTCTGTACATGTTGACAGTTTGCCTTGAGCCCAATTTTTTTTTATGTTATTATTATTATTATTATTATGACTTTATTTAAAGAGGGTAACTCAATTAGCTAAGAACTAAGTACCTGTTGACAGTTTGCCTTGAGCCCAATTGTTTAATGCCATTTTGCGTAGTGTTTTTTTCCATTTTTTCATTATGTGCTTTTAGAATAAAGAATGTGACAGACAGTAAATAAATCTGCATTTTATATTTTACATCAGCAGCATTTTTGTCTATGAATGGTTTCATGTAAGTCATTCGACTCATTAAGGCAAAAAACAGCAAGTCAAAATCCAAACCTATGTTTCTTATTCAGTCCAATGATCAGTCTTCAGAAGTTTTTTTTTTTTTTAAATAATTGTATTGTTTAAATATACAACAAAAATATTGCTTAAATATATTAATGTAACTAAAGCC